CATGTAAAATCTCCTTCCTCATCTAGTTTTTACTCAGTGATTTTACTATCCATTGATGTTTCTTGCCTGAATTATTACTGTGACAGTTGCCAAACGACGATTTTCTAATTCCTTTATTCCTTTTCCTTTTATTATTTGGCTTTTTACTCCAAGGAGGAGCTGTCTCTTCTTCCTGTTTATTTATTCATTTACTTTTTTATACCAGTGGGGACTCAAGGATTCCTATTTTATTTAATGGGTTATAATCCTTTATTATCAGGATTTATTTTGATGTCATATTGTCTCAGATTTGGCCAGTGGGAGCCCTTGTAAGCTGGCTTTTGTGTCCTCTCATTTCTTTGAGCACAAGATGTTTCAGGCTCCTCTCGTTCTTTCTCTGCCCTAGCTCTGGAATCAGCCATTTTCTCCAAAGGGCATTGATTGCTTTTAATGGAGAACAGTATTTAGAAATCAAGATCCAAGAGCTAGATAAGCTCATTGCTCTGGGATATTGCTGCTTTAAGGTCCTTGAAATGGGCAGACCTAGGAAATCTATGTTTGTATATATGGACATGTACATGTACACACACTGACATCTATATTTAATTTTATATCTGTCTCCATATATTGAAAAGCCGGAATATATACTAATACTTCCAATTCTCCTTCAAAACTACAGGGCTCATTCTAGATTTTCCCTTTCCTTGTTTTTTTTTTTTTTTAATCTCTCTTCTCCAACAGTGAGAAATCTGACTCCCTTTATCTTCAACATATTTATTTACTCAATTCCTTTGTGTGTAGCCAATCTCTGCACCTCCTTGGCCACTGCCCCCCTCAGAGGCCCTCCTTGTGTGGACTCTGGCCACTGTGGGCCCCTGCCCTGCACAGATAACCTCCATGTACTGCCTGTAGGCTGCCTTCCTATCCTGTCCACCATCTTCCTCGATATAAGTCCTGGCTGTAGGAAGGAAGGTCTAATTTTTAAATGCTGGCCAAGTTATTCAAGTTTGTTTTTTTTTTTTTAAACAGTTTGTGGGTTAATCAGAACTTGATTAGTAGGCTGGTAGGACCTCTGGTCTAGATGATATGAAGGAAATATTAGGAACTGGTGACCAGAGATGAACATGGTCTGTTTAATAGGGGCTTTAGTGAGAACCCTAATATCTTCCTGACTTAGGAGGGAAGATGAGCATGCCTACCTACGTGGCCTTCTACATTCCCCATCGGGCTAAGCGAAATAAAGAGTGTAGCTTTTGGGCCTTTTGGTAACTTTCCATTGAGCCTAAGTTTGTTTTTGTTTTTGTTTTCTCTAACGCTTACTTTTCAATGCTCTTTAGAAGCCCACTCTGTGACACTAATAATCTTGTCCTTGCTGGAGTTCAGAATATAAATTCCTCAGTGAAAAGGAAGATTAGGATGAAGAAACCTTATTTGTTAGAGATGCAGTCCTGTTGAAAAAAGGGGTGTGGAAATGACAGATGTGTGGAGTACCAGGTTACTCAACCGCCAGGCTTTTGCCAGTCTTTTCTTGTTGTCAGCCAAGTTAGATCAGGTCCTCATATCAAGGAGAGATGAAAACCCTCTTTCTCTGAAGCAGAACCTTTTCCCTCCCTCTCAATCATTATTCTTTTGGGGGAGAGGATGGCAGGAGGTATGTCACTATGGGGTAATGTCTGGGTGGGGCAGGCAGCCCTGTGGGTCCTCTTTGCATTTCATAAGAATTCAGAGAATGACAGTCTCCCACTTGATTGGAGAATGTCTATAGAAGGAAGATTGGGATGCATAGATAAGGTTTACTTACCATGGAGTGACATGGTTGGAAGTTAGGTGATAAATACTAGAAGTTTCTGAAAAATGAGAGGTCCTTCTCACGCACAGACATAATGGTCATTATGTCCCTTAACCATACATGCCTGGTCAACATTTTCTCTTTGTCCACATCCTTCATCCTGTTCTCATGTTTGTTTATTTTAATTTTGGGGTTTTGGGGGGTTGTTTTTCACTTTTCTTTCTTTGGCTTTCATATATTTCTAGCACAGGGAATTAGGAAGCGGAGATAGTGGGTGGGTGAGAAGAAATAGAGAAGAGGAACATTTTTAAATGCTGCCCTTTAATGTGGTAGAAATTCATGTTGACTTCATAGTCTGAGTAAGCATATGTAAATAATTTGTAAATCATATGAAAATAAACTTGTGGCCTTCCAGGATTTTTTTTCACACACTTGGATATGCCTCTTGGGAAAACCACTTTAGTGAAGGGTGATATGGTTATAGTGGTATGTAAACAGGGGTTGATATTTACCATAACCATTCGACTCGAGTGTCCTTTTGTTGATGTTGAGCATCACTGGAAAGTTTTCTCTTTCCCTGGTTACTTCCTTCAGAGGCACGTATATTTTATACTTTGGTCTTCTTTTGACAACAGTCCAGGGTATCAAATTGCTGCTCTGTTTTTAGTGGGCTCCATGTTTAATCCCTCTGTCTTTTGCCTTCATTCCAAATTCAGGAATTAGTCTCCTACACTATGCTCATATTTATGCTGTTCTTGCAGACCTAGGCTTTGTGTGCTGTTAACGCTGCCATTATTATTTCTTAAAATGAACTTTATAGATCAGTTCTGGTACTTCTACAGATGAGTTTTAAATCTATACAATGTTATGCTGACAGTTTTTTCTTTTTGCTTAATATTTTCCATAGAATGCTATGGTGCCAGGCACTATGTACGCACCCACTAGGTGTTTCTTGACCAGCTAATGCCCCATCGTGCACAGCATCCCACACACAATTTCCCAGGCGTGGGTGACCCTATTTTCATTTTTCACCCTTCCTATTGGTCTAAGGTTCTATAAGAGAAGCAGCATCTTGTGGTTAAGAACATGTGTTGTGGAGTCAGTGTGTATGGGGGGTATTTATGAATTTATTAAAGTTACATTCTTTGAACTTAATGTTACTTACGCATTATTACAACAGCCAGATTTGCAGACAGCAATATTGAGGGTGAGAAAATAATTCAATTTAGGGAGAAATGATTGTTTCAACATTTAACCAGATATGTAAGGGACAACAACATTGTGACTAAGAGCATGGGTTTTAGAGTCAGACAGCCTTGGTTTTGATTCTGGCTGTGCTATTTCTTTTTTTTTCTTTTTAAGTTTTTATTTAAATTCCAGCTAGTTAACATATAGTGTAATATTAGCTGCAGGTGTACAATATACTGATTCAGCACTTCCACACAACACTTGGTGCTCATCACAAGTATACTCCTTAATCTCTCTCTCTTTTTTTCCTCCCTTCACTGTGCAGAAGTTTTTTATTTTGATGTAGTCCCAATAGTTATTTTTTGCTTTTGTTTCCCTTGCCTCAGGAGACCTACCTAGAAAGAAGTTGCTAGGACGATGTCAAAGAAGTTACTGCCTGTATTCTCTTCTAGGATGATTCTTATGGTTTCAGGTCTCACATTTAGGTCTTTAATCCATTTTGAATTTATTTTTGTGTATGATGGAAGAAAGTCTAGTTTCATTCTTTCGCATGTTGCTGTCCAGTTTTCCCAATACCATTTGTTGAAGAGACTGTCTTTTTCCCATTGGATATTCTTTCCTGCTTTGTCGAAGATTAGTTGACCATATAGTTGCGTGTTCATTTCTGGGTTTTCTGTTCTGTTCTACTCATCTATGTGTCTATTTTTTGTGCCAGTACCATACTCTTTTGATTACTACAGCTTTGTAATATAACTTGAAGTCCGGAATTGTGATGCCTCCAGCTTTTCTTTTCTTTTTTTTTTTTTTAAAGATTTTATTTATTTATTTGAGAGAGAGAGAAACAGCACGAGAGGGGAGAAGGTCAGAGGGAGAAGCAGGCTCCCTGCTGAGCCGGGAGCCCGATGCGGGACTCGATCCCAGGACTCCGGGATCACGACCTGAGCCGAAGGCAGTCGCCCAACCAACTGAGCCACCCAGGCGCCCTGCTTTTCTTTTTCAAGATTTCTTTGGCTATTCTGGGTCTTTTGTGGCCCCATACAAATTTTAGAATTATTTGTTCTAGCTCTGCAAAAATGCTGTTGGTATTTTGTTAGGGATTGCATTAAATGTGTGGATGGCTTTGGGTAGTATAGACATTTTAACAATATTTGTTCTTCCAGTCCATGAGCATGGAATGTCTTTCCATTTCTTTGTGTCCTCTTCAATTTCTTTCATAAGTGTTCTATAGTTTTCAGAGTACAGATCTTTGAGCTTTTTGATTAGGCTTATTACTAGGTATCTTATTGTTTTTGGTGTAATTGTAAATGGGATTGGTTCCTTAGTTTCTCTTTCCGTTGCTTCGTTGTTGGTGTATAGAAATGCAATGCATTTCTGTATGTTGATTTTGTATCCTGTGACTTTATTGGATTTATCAGTTCTAGCAGTTTTTTTGTGGAGTTTTTTGGGTTTTCTGTATATAGTATTGTGTCACTTGCAAATAATGAAAGTTTTACTTCTTCCTTGCCAATTTGAATGCCTTTTATTTCTTTTTGTTGTCTGATTGCTGTGGCTAGGACTTCCAGTACTGTGTTGAATAAAAGTGGTGAGAGTGGACATCCTTGTCCTGTTCCTGATCTTACGGGAGAAGCTCTCAGTTTTTCCCCATCGAAGATGATGTTAGCTGTGGGTTTTTTCATATATGGCCTTTATTATGTTGAGGTATATTCCCCCCCAAGCCTACTTTGTGGAGGGTTTTTATCAAGAATGGATATTGTACTTTGTTAGTCAGTGTAATTTTGGACAAATTACTTAATCTTTGTAGGTTACATTTTAGTTTTTATATCTACTCTAAAAATGAGATATAATATTATCTACTTCAGAGACTTGCTTTAAGGAATGAATTAAGTATTATATATGAAGCACCATAGGAGTGAGTACTTATCAAGCACTCATTATTTGTTAATGATGTCACTCTCCTTTTATTAATACCACATTGATCCTGAGTTCTAGCCTACATTTCCTTGAACCCCTGCTCCTGACTTTTAACTTATGTCCTTTCTATCAGGTTTGCAACTGTGCGATATGATCAAGGAGCCAAGAACATTCGGAACCAGTTCATGCACCTGACAAACTATAGTGTGAATAAGAAGAGTGGAGACTATGTCAGGTACTGGCTACAGCTGAGCCAACATCCACATGTGGGTGTTGTGGATGTGGAAAGTCAGCTCATTGTTCTACATTTATCTCCATGTAACCTTACGGGAAGCCGTCTGTCATTTAGCACATTTAGCTGCTGCTTCTCCATTGCTTGCCCTCCCCGTTACAGTGTCACCGTTCTCTACCAAATATGCCTTCCTAAATTTCGTCTTCACTGTCTTTTCTCACTTGACTTACATGTGGGAATTTAATAGGCATATGGAACTTTTTAGAAGTCAAGAAATGAGGTTATTTCAGCACTTGGCAAAATGTATCAAAAGCTTTAAAAATATTGGTACCCTTTGACCCAGCATTTCCATTTCTAGGACCTTAACCTTAAGAAATAACAAGAGATGTGTGCGCAAGATCAGAGAGAATGTTCATGACTGTACATTGTCAGGTGGAAAAAACAGGTTGCCAGACACTACTTGCAGTTTAATTTCTTTTTTGAATATATAAGATAACTAAAGCTGTTTATGTTTGCCGAGGGGAGAAAATGGAAACTATAAGGATATATACTAAAATGTTAGCAGTGCTTAACTATGGTGGACAGGATTATGGGCGGGTGACTTCTGGTTTCTTCTCTGTGCTGAAGTAAAAACTTGTATGATTGGGGGGAAAAAGTTAGGAATAAATTAAATGAAGAAAGAAATGAGGCCATCTCAGAAAAGGATTCAGTGGAAGGGAGTACCAGCCCAGCTGTGTGGAAATATTCCTTCTGCTCTGTTTTCTTTCATCCTGATAATTTTGCCAGAAAGTGGAAAAATAAAAAAGAAACCCAAACAGTTACTTTCTACTCAGACTAAAAATAGGTGTCTAGAAGGTCCAAGGAAAGAAAGAAAAGAATCTGGAAGTGATGGCATAGTTGCCAAAGCTTTATAGATTTCACGGAGTGTCCTGTGACCAGTGTTTGGAATGGTTGAAGATATCATATCCTTCACTCTGGAAGATGAGCAGACATGCAGCTAGTGGGTGGTGGGGTGGTGGTAGGGAATGAGGGGGCAGCTGCGAAACACGGGTTCCAGATTGCAAGACCCTTCCGATGGTCTTGGCAGTGTACCCTGTTTGCCAGTCTGCTGCTCTAGCAGTGGGGTACTTCATCACTTTCATTGTTGCTCCAGTGCATTCTCGCTTCAGTGGTAACTCAGAAAGTATCAAAAAAAAGCTGTGTCTACCACTGAAGCGGAGGGAGCTTGCTTCAGATGCTAACGGGTTAGCTCATTAAATGCTACACTACATAAGCTCACTTGCTTCACATGCTAATGGGTTAGCTCATTAAAATGCTACACTACGTAAGCTCACTAGCCCACCCAGACTCAGTTCTGGTCCGAAAATGGCATTAGAAGTTCTTCTGTGGGCTCATGTGACATTTACCTCAAAGTCTGGGTTAGTATCCGTGAACATTTCACTCTATTAATGTATTGTAACCACTCTTAAATTGTTTACATTCTTTCATACATTTCTTCCACCCTTTCGTGATACATAATTTGCTTAAGGAAGAGCTTGCTGCCTTCTCTCCTACCCCCCTCAGTAAGGGAGGCCATATGCATTTTCATTTCAGTGGTAGATAGGGATATATGACAAAAATGACCAAAAAAAGTTGCTGAGTGGAGGTCAGCAAAGGGAATGTTTTCCTAAAGTTTAAAAGGACAAGTATTTGTAAAAAATCTGACTTCTGCTGCCAGGCCTATTCGTATGTGTGACCTTGATCCATTCCTTTGTTTTAGCTGTGATGATCCAGAGGTGGAGGATTATGGGAACAAGTGGAGCATGAGCGCCATGCTTAGGTATCTGAAACAGGAAGGCAGAGACACAACTGGTGAGTGCCAGGCCTTTTTTCCCGTTGACCTCTCTTCTCTGGGTAACCTGCCCTGGCCCCTCAGCACGAGTCACCCTCTGCAGTTCTGGCAGTGTCGCTGAGACACCTGATGGGGTCATTGGTGGTGGGGGTAAGTTTTCCTGCCCTGTCCAAGATGGAGAACAGGCTTTCCATGAGCCCCGAAATCCTTTTTCTTGTTTCTAGTTTGGAAGGCGCAGCTTTTTCTTTTAGCCTTTAGTGAATTAATCCTTCTTGAGTGTTGAGCGGCAAACTGAAATACTTTCTCCATATTGGCCCTGAGTGCAAATTTGTCCAGGTGAATCTGTCTCCCATTCATGTTGCTGAATTGGAGAATGAGCAATGTCGAATAGGAGTACAGGGCTTGGCATCAACATGGACACTACTGCTGAGCCTGGAGCAGAGTGAGAAGTGCGCAAAAGGCTAAGCTCAGTCCACAAAGAGACGGGTGGTAGGAGAAGGCCGAAAAGGGAGGAGTAAGACTTCTTTTCCATTCCGTGTCTATCTTTTGTCATAGCAGGCCACTTGAGTACAGTCCCCAGCACCTACATTCTGGACTGTGTCAACTTATTCCTAGAGACGCCTTCTCCTGGAGTACCTATTTGCATGACCGCCACCTAGAGACTTTCTGGAATGAGCACATGTGCTTTTATAATCACACTGTGTTCTGGAATCCAGTCTTTCTACTTCATGCATTATAGTGTTTTTTCCTTCTGCTGCTGCTGCTGCTGCTTCTTTTTTTTTTTTTTTTGTAGCATTGATGGCCCATGTGGAAGACCTGATTATTAAGACTATAATCTCTGCTGAACTAGCTATTGCCACAGCCTGTAAAACCTTTGTTCCTCACCGCAGCAGTTGTTTTGGTAAGGAGACTCAAGAAGCTTCCTGTGTTGTATGAAAAGGGGCTTGGGAAGTTGGGATGGGATCCTGGGGTAGAGAGGCTTAGTGATTCTACAAGAGTAAGAGGTATGTGGTGGACTTTTCTTTCTAGGCTCACATAGCACATGAAGGTCCCACTACGAGGCCAGTGGTGAGCTTACTTGGAGGTCCCCTGAGGACTCACGAGCTTTCTGTGTGGGAAGCAGGGATTGGAACTAAAGTACGGGTCTCTTTGTCAGAGTGCAATCAGAAAAAGCCTGCAATGGACTGTACAGGAATCCAGCTCTAACAAATATATTCCAGAGCTCTTTGGCAGCCAGACTGGGAACCGTTCCAAGAAGCTCTGGCTGGTACCAGTATGTGCTTTCTCCCAGTTTCCAGTGACTCCTCCTTTTTGTTTTAGTCTTCTTCCTAGTGGGTTTCTCTCTCCACTTCTCTTTCTTCTCCTTCTCTTCCTCCTTCCTCCCCTTTTCTCCCACCCGTAACTCCCTGATTGCACAGAGCAGGAGTAAGAAACAGTTCACAACTCCTGAATCAGAAAGTCCATTCCTACTGACCCACTGGCTGTGACTGGCACCAAGGGTGCCTGCGCACGTTTGCTTTCTGTGTGGATGTGAGCTCTTTAGTGATTGCCAGCGTCAGTGTCTGTAAAGTCCACCAGGCTTTTGGCAGGTAGTAGGCTTTGTTAGTAAGACACACGAGGGTCATTGCTGGGGGGATATTTAAAGTAATACAGTAGTGAGGGTATAAGGCATGGCTTGCTCGGGAGGCTGGGTAACAGGAAAGTAGAGAACATGGGCATTAGAGCCTGATGGAGTTAGTTTAAAAGCCATTCACACCCCTTACTAGTTTTCTCATTTTCACCAAGTTACTCCAGTCCTGTTTCCTCAACTTTAAAATGGCAGTAATGATGGTACCTACCTCCCAAGGGTACCATGAAGATCAGATGAGATGATGTGTGCAGAGCACTTGGCCCAATGTCTGCTCCTCAATTTGTGCTCAGTAGAAATTATTTCTTTGTTATTTTTATAACTAGAATTAATAATTCTTGACCTCTTTCATGGATTATCATAACAGTCTGTATTTGAGGGCCACTAAAAAAGGGAGGTGTTGAGACTCTGAATAGAAGAGCTTAGATAAACCAGGACCTGAAATTATATAGGAAAAGAAGAGGTTGTGACATCTTTTCTAAATGCAGATATGTTCATGTCTTGTAAAACCCTCACGTGGCTCCTTAGGCTTAACTAGTAAGTAGAAACTTGATATGACTTAAAGGCTTCTAAGGACCTGACCCCAGCTGAATTTTCTAGAAATTCTAGAATTTTTTAGAAATTTCTAGAATCTCCACTTACACCTTATAATCCACCTATACCACTGAGCACTCCATGCCTCTGTGCCTCGGTATAAATTCTGCTGTCCTGTCTGCCCGGCACACTCCTGTTCATATTCTAAGACTCAGCTTGACCATTGCCTTTTCTAGGAACCCTTGCTAAATGAGGTGCCCCATTGTGTCTCCTTTCTCATGTTCGATACTTCGTTCTGTTATGTTCCTTTCCTATCATATTGTGATGTTTTGTTTACATGTGCACTTCCCCCTTAGTCTCTGAGCTTATTGCCTCAATTCTCAGTAGCCACTGTGTCTGCCCTTCCCCCTCACCCTCTTTTTGCCAAACCAAACCTTTCATCGTCTCCCTGGGCCTGCCAGGTCCTTCCCTCCCCCTCTGCCTTTGCACCTGCTTTATCCTATGTCTGACAAATTTTTCTCATGTTACTTAATAGATTACTGACATCTTTTCAAGATGAAGCCAAGTATCAGTTCTTTGGTGAATTTTTTCCTAAGTATTCCAGTCACAGCCCTCCCAGCTCCCAGCTTTCTATTCATAATCTGCAGTGGTACCTGATTGTCATCTGGTACCCATTTTTGTGTCTGACTCCCCTCCTGCACTAGAAGCTCCTTGCAGACAGGTGTGGTGTCTCCTTAGTTTCTGTTCCTCTTGTGCACAATAGCATTGTTTTTGCTCTTAGAGGATGTTTAAGAAATGTTTGTGAATGAATCATTGGTACTTGCTTTAATTGCCTTTTGTTGGCCTTTGATAGTAGGCTTCACGGTAGATCTGGTTTGGTGAGGGCGTAGAGCTCTTAGCGTTATTGTAAACTGTTTGAGGAAGGGGTGCATAGAACGTATCTTCAACTTCAGAAACCTCACTAAATAAAACAACTGAAGTTTCTTTTCCACATCTACTTGGCTCTTATATAAGGGTAAATTTCTTGGCGTAAAAATTTTTGTTGTAGAAATGATCGTAAGCTCTTCTGAAGGTTTCCTTTTCTATTTGTTTTATTACCTGATTGCCTTTTGGAAGCTTGAGAATTTCTGGAACTTAATGGCAGTGGAGATTCCGACATGAAATAAATAGTGACTTTCTCTGACTCAGTGGAATACCCCTAAGTCCATTTCATCATCCATGGGTCCCCTTTCCCCCTCCCTGCTTTTCTTCAGTTTTAATAAAGTGAGTGCATCTGGAGTTTTTTAAGTTGTTGACTGTCTTCTTGGCTTTTGTGGTTCTAATTCCACTTCCTGTCAGCCCTGGGATTTTGTGTGCTTCATTAACCTCCCCCCATCAGATACAATTTTGTATACGTGTATATATTTGTGCGAGTCTCTCTGGCTCCCACTGACTCCCGTTAGCTTCCCCTGGGGTTTAAGTTACAAGGAATAAACTGGGTTTGTTGTCTCTTCCTTCCTTCCTTCCTTCCTTCCTTCCTTCCTTCCTTCCTTCCTTCCTTCCTTCCTTCTCTTCCTCCCTCCCTCCTTCTCTTTCTTTCTTTCTTTCTTTCTTTCTTTCTTTCTTTCTCTTTCTTTGTTTTAGAGTAAACAGGAATTGAGAGCATCCCAGAATAATTTGGCTTGCACAGACCATTGGTGCTTTTAAGTGGAAGCCAGTAGTCCAGTGATGGAGTTCACTGTATTTTTTTGGTTGCGGTTTCACCCAAACACATTATGGATCTTGGCTTAGGAGCATTCCATTTCTAAGCATTTCTGTCCTATGACTTCTTTCCCACTCTACCACCTGTAATACCTGACTATGCTTTTTAGGACTTCCAGTATTCTGTTCATTTGTTTATCTATGCATTTAACTTATTTTCAGTCCCTGCTGAAAGGCATAGATTATAAGTGTTGTTCCTCTCAAACTGGATTTTACATGGATGATATATACATACACCTGCATTGTATTATTGGCATTTAACCGTAGATTTAGGAACCTTCACAAACAACCTGAAACTTAGCTGTGCCGTGTAATGCCTTCTCATAGATTTGTACATCTGGAAAGGACCCCAGAGAATAATTAGTCCATATAAAGAAGTTAAGACCCTTCCCGAGGTTCCAGAGCTCGTGAGTGGAAGAGCCCACATGAAGGAGACCTGGCTTGGAGGGCAGGGGCCCACAAGATGGTTGGCTGTCAGGTCATCTTGATCATTGCACTCTTGATTTATAGAGTTTTTGATGCCTCTGCCAATAAAATAGATTTCTGGCACTCTAATTTTTCTGCCTTCAAGATTGTAAAAATATGGTACCATGTGAAATATATGTGTAAACAGCAACCCTTTAAGTATGCTTAGGAAATTGGCACTGTGACATAACTGGCAAGGAGAATGGCTTTTTTGACCAGTTGGAGAAAAATAGCCAAGAGCAACAGGATGTTAGCTGTCCTTTACAGATGCTGCTGCTGACAGCAGTTTTATCTGCGTGTGCGAGGATGGCTGAAGTAACAGGCTCTGATCCTGGTCCTCCCCGGCTTGGGACTCCTCTGAGCCCCCTGTCCTGCCACTTGTAGAGGTGATGAGGCTGGCCTTGTTTAGGTCAGGGGCCAGTGACGTCTTTGCTCAGGACAGTCCATGTCAGTACACCTCTCTCTGTCTAATGAATGCTAGTTTGGACTTCCATTGCTCTTGTTCTAGACCATTTCATAGGGTAAACTGACATTCTCCAAGGGTGGGTGTCCATAAATATTTGTTGAAGGAATGAAAGTGGGCAGCATACATTCCCCATGTAAACTACTTGACAATCACCAACAAAAGTCAGCAAACAGTTCACTTTTCTTTCTTTCTTCTTTTTTAAACAGTTCACTTTTTGAGAGAGTCTCCTTTCTGCTTTATCCTGTGCTCCTATTGAGGTGGGAAGGGAAGTTTACTGTAGAAGGGGCTTGGGACGAAGGAAGTACCTACTGTTTGTCAAGCACTTTTCATTGGTTATTCCCTTTAGCCCTCTTAAGGGTTTTGTTGGTATTTATTACCTATGTTTTATAGCAAGGAGAAAGGATTCAGAAAGGTTAAATAATCCGTCCTAGGTCACGCAGTTAACAAATGGCAAAGCCAAGTTTGGGAGCCAGGTCTCTTTGGCTCTTTCTCCACTCACGTTAAGACAAGCTCTGATGAGTCCGACCACTTTTGGCATGCTCCATATCCTGGATTCTCCTCCTGCTCTCCTGTAACTAGATCTCAGGAAAAATGATATCATTCTCTCTAGCAGATCAGGCCTGAAAAAGGCACTCTTTCGGCTCTAATCAACAGTACCGAGTCCTAGATACTCCTTTCAAATCTACCTTTACATATGGTAGCCAGATACCATATTGATTTATTGGACTAGTTAACAAATTGGCTCTGGGCTTTTTCTTTTATTTAGCTCATTTTCCTGTGGGATCTTGATCTGCTTTTTTCCAACTTCTCCTTCTGGACCCCAGATAAAGACTTCCTCCTTAGGTTTTCAACTCAAATTCAAAGCCAAGGTAAAAAGAATTTCCTTTATACAATAGTATTTGACTGGCAGTGCGGACTGGCTAATGTCAGCACTTTCCACTGCCTCAGGATTACAGCTGCAGCTGAGGCTTTGTTTCTGGGGAGGGTTAGTGGATTGATTCCACAATTAGTGGTGTGACATATTTAGTAATCTGTTAGGCATTGGACGCGTTATTATTTTAGCTATCAA